GTACAGGGCCACCCAACTTACTCAGCATGGACATCCGGCCCCAGGACACGAGCACGCATGTCCGGAGGGTCCCCTAAAACTGTGCTGCTCTGAAGAAACGGTCCGGGGAGAATGGCAGCTTGTCTTCTATTCTGAAATCAGAATCCGTGCTTTCTACTTTGGAACTGGGGTCAGGAGTAGGGTCCACTTAGAGGCCACAGGGCCCTTAGGTACTGGCTTTTTGTTGTTTGAGTTTCAGAAATGAAGGAGGATACAGGATGCAGACACATGGTAAAGGGAGGGATTAGAAATCTCCAATGTCTGAGAAAGAGAGAGGCTCGTTAGGAGAGGATGGGATGTCGGAGGAGGACCAAAACCGCAGGCGTTTAGAGAGAGCCGGATGGGCCGCTGGAGACTTGTCTTTGTCTTTGCTTTTGCTTCTCAAAAAGGGACTCTTTTTGCGCTGAGCAGCTAAATGTCATCACCCGGATAACCCAGAGGAGGAAGGGGGAAAAAAAAAAAAGAGAACAAATGAAATGAACAATAATTACAAACCAATCTAAATTAGCAAAATGTACCCAAGATGTCAGAATCCTGTCGGACCTAGAGAAGGAGAACCAGTGCTGATGCTCAGACCAGGATGGGGCTCACGCAGGGACTGTTTATGCTCTGACTCGGTTTAGGTGACTCAGGGGCTTCCCAATCCAACCACGGACTCACTCGACATGTGAGGCGAACTACACACTGCCCGAGGGGCCGGCGATTTAGACTGATGCTTCAATTCCAGTGTGTTTAATTATTAAATGAGAATGCGTTAATGTAGGAGCGGCCACTCCTCTTACTCATACGGTTTAATGACAGGGTCCCTGACAGCTCAGCTCACCTACAGCTCCTGTTCCCAAAGAGCTTGGAAACCTATAATGACAAGCTTCTCACCCACTGTCATGACACCGTCTACCTGCGGTACTCCCGACAGCATCTGCCCTCTAAAGTCACCTCTGGGGGCAGAAGGAGTTTAGAAATAATAAAAACCTCTTTTGCACACCCAAGCCCTTTCATGCCAAGGAGAATCTTTTCACGTTCCTCTACATCCTCCACTCCGTGGTCTTTAGATGACAGTCTTCACAGAGCAGACCACTGCTCTGACTTGAACACATGTTAAGCTAACATGAACCAACCTGACCCCTGCTGATCTAGGACTGAAGCGGACAGCAGGACCTCCACGCTTTCTTTCCCCACAGCACCACCTGGTGGCCACAGCCCACACCACAGGAGAAGGGACCAACTGATTCTACATTGGCGGCCCTTTGGTATATGTATCCCTGCTGCCCAGCTCAGGGCTGGGCTCCAAGAGGAGCTCCCCAAACTGGGGATGCTTTACTTAGCATCTTCAGGGACCAAAGCAAAGAAGGTAGCATGAAGTCAGGTGCTGACAGGCCCGTGTGGATCTCTGCTGCAACACCAGCAAGAGGAACCTGGATGAGCCTCCCTTTCTCAGCTCTGGAGAGGGGTAGTGATGGTGCCTGCCTCATGAGTAGTCAGGCTTAAAGACAAGCACGCTGAGTCCCGAGAGAGACTCAAGTCACACGACTCCTGCTGGTGACCGTCACTGGCAGCTCATGCACAGGTTGGTTCAACTGTCTGGGCTGAGCAGTTTTTACTCTGGAAGTTTTTCTGACTTGATTAGACTGATTATAGTTAGTTCAACTTACAGAATAATGCAAGTTGGGGTGACAACTGCTCCAAAATT